TCTAATGCACAGCTTCAGTTAAGAACATTACATTACTTAGATGAGTCACATCATATTAGGCAACACTCATACTGGGGCTGCACAGGACTTTCACCCAACCTGAGGTTAAATGTCTCCTCTCATGATGACTAAAAACTAGTCAAAAGGCTGAAGGTAGTTCTTTGGTGCCATTTTATGGAATGAAAACCTCTTAAGATAATTGCTCAACTTCCATCCAAGCAGCCTACAGAAGCCATGTCAAAGCCTCTCCCAGGACAAGGATACAGACAGAATATACTCAACAGCTCACAATACAGCTTTACTCTAATATTTCATGAGACAAATCTCTCCTCCCTCCCCCTCTCTCTCTCTCTCTCTCTCTCTCTCTCTCTCTCTCTCTCTCTCTCCCTCTCTCTCTCTCCCCTTCATTTTCTCTCCCCCCCAAACAACTAGGACCTGGAGAATGATTTTAAAATTCACTTCACTGCCTTCATGAGGTCATGAACCATGTTCAAAGGGGAAAGGACATTACACTCAGATTCTACTGGGTATATTATTCAGGAAGAGAAGAATGCATAGTTTAATCCATTTCAACAGCAACAAAAAAGAAACCACAGGAAAATGAAGGAGTCATTTCTTTTTCGCCGTTTGCCAGTGACCCATGTATGTGTAAATGAGTAAATTATCCATTCCATTTGGTGTTTAGATTACTGCACTCTCAAAGAGAGAAAATCATTTCCTTGAAATTCAATAATACAGCCAACATATTATGTCTCAAATACTGTACACTTCAAAAAATAAAGTCATTTTAAATCAGTACAATGTTCTCAATATTTCTTGCTTTATAGATATACAACAACTTGCAGTCCTGTTGGATCACCCCATTTCTCCATGCCAGAGTCAATTCATAAAGCAATCCCTTTACTAGATAGATTCTAAGAACCAGGAACAATAAAAGAAACAACATGTACTCATAACCAGTTGCACACTCCATGTTAGACCTACATGAATATTGCTCTGCTCACAACAGACACTCGGTCAGCTCCTACAGTACCTGAAACAGACCTTGCTTGCATAATGGCAAGATGAGAGAGAGGGGGGCGGTGGGGGGAGAAGAGAAAGCTTCTTTTAACAGATTATTCTGTTTAAAAGAACAAAACTAAAAGAAAGAAAGAAAGAAAGAAAGAAAGAAAGAAAGAAAGAAAGAAAAAGGCTGGGATTTGTGGGTACCTCACTCCAGCCCCGAATAAACACCGATTCATTAGGAAAAAAAATCAGTAGGTCTTTCTGTACTGTGTCAAAGCTGGATACAAATTATGTAGGCTTTCTCAGTTATTTTTGTTTGTTTTGAGGAAGGTCTTGCTAGGTAGCTCTGGCTGGCTTGTTCCTCACTAATCACCACAGACTAGCCTCAAACCACAGCAATCCTTCTCACTGAGCCTCCTGAATGCTGGGATTAGCAGCATGAGCCACAAGATCTGGCTTTGGTATTGATTTTCAAATAAAGAGTTTGAATTCTCTGTACAAGCAAATCCCTTATACTGTGTCAGAAAAAAGCATGCATAATTTCCAACTTGAAGAATTTAAATGCTGTAAATATACACAGCGATTCACAGTTTCTAACAGTGTTCACGCATACTATCTTGTTTTACTCTCAGGAGCTCCATGAGGCTGTACCAACATCTTCATTTTATAAATGATAAAGCAGAAACACAAAGATGTTAAACATCTTGCCTAAGATCCCTTTATGGGGTTCTTCTACTGTCTCCTCTTTCAAACTCAGATGAAAAATACAAAGGATTCCACTTATTCTCAGGTTGCTATATAATCCAAGCTTTTCTAAATATGAAATAGAGTCAAGACATACAGACACTATCATATATAAATGCGGAATGTCATACTCTCTCCAAGCTCTGTATTAATGGCTTTTAACCTTCACATCATGATCCTTTATGAAATTTAATGAAAACTGAAGATCCTCACCCCTACACAAAGGCATTCAAGCAAATGTTCACAGCAGCTTTATTCACCATCACCAAAAAGTGGAAACTACCCAAATGTTCACTACCCACTGGATGCATAAAGTGCAGCATTTCTATACAATAAGTTACCATTCAGCCACAAAAAAGGAACGAATCCTGAAAACATTACACCAAAAGAAACTAGCCACATAAGCATCGTATAGCACGTATAGTATATGACTCCTTTCATTTGAACTATCCAAAATAGCAAGAACCCCACACTCTCACTCATATGTGGAATCTTGAAAACTTGATCTCAGGGAATTTGACAGTCCAATGGACTTCAGCATAGACTGGGGGAGAAAGGGGGCAGAGAAGGAGGTAGAAAGATTGATCAAGGAGAACTGAGTTCGAGTTAATTAGCAAGAAGCTTTGTTGTACTGTTACACAGTAGGTTGACTACAGATAATAATAATGTACTGCACATTTCAAAGAGTGAGAATAAAAGATTTAGAAAGCTTTTACCATAAAGGGTTGACAAGTGCTTGGAGAAAGAAACATATTTAACCCAATTTAACCATTATGTAATACTCCATTGATATGCAAAATGTTCATGTTTTTATATTTGATAAATAAATTTAAGGGCTAGGGTGATGGCTCAGTTAGTAAAGTGCTTGCACACAGGCATAAGGGCTTAAATTTAGATCCCACAGCACCCATGTGTAAGGCTGGGTTGATGCACACCTTTAATCCTAACACTGGGGAAACAGATGGAAGGATTCTTGGAGTTTGCTGGCCAACTAGTCTTGCTGAATTAGTGAGCTCCAGGTTCAGTAAGAGACCCTGTCTCAAAAAATAAGGTTACGTGTAGTAATGGAGGATTCTAGATGTCAACCTCTCTTTATACTCCACACACATACCTTCACAAACATGTATGAACACGCACATATACCACACACAAAGAAAAATATAAAGAAATGTTCAGAATAGGCAAACCGATGGAAATCTACAGTAAACTAATTGTTGCGTAGGGATTCAGGGGATGTTAAAGAAATGTGAACTAACCTGTGAGGTCTCTTGCTGAGGGCATGACTATTTTGTAAAACTGACTGTGGTAGGTGATGATACACCACCGTGAACATACAAAAAACCACTAAGCTGTCTACTTTAAAATACTTAAATTGTATTGTATATGAATTGTGTCTGAATAAAGATGTTCTTTTATTTGAAGTGCTTGGAATCAAATCCAAGGTCTTGTGTCTACAATTCGAGAGTTCTGCCACTGCGCTGAATTCCAGTCCTTCAATAAAGATAATATTTTTAAAACAACCATTACATTGGAAAAATAAAATTACCAGAAATTTCCTGAGCCCTGAAACTCACCTACAAGTGCAATAAGGTCCAAGAACCAAAGTTACTTAACTCCAAGAATCATCAAATTTTCTTTATTTCACAGATGATTTTCTTCAATTGTCCCAACAACTACCAAGCCTATGCCTCATCGTTTTAAAGGCCTCTATGCCATTAGATCACTCGATCAGTTTTCAATACTGATTCTTTATGAACCAATAGTACAGTTTCATAAATGTAATTTTAGGAGCTAGGTCCAGGCATAGAAGTGTGCTCCTGTAACTCGAGCATCCAGGAAGTTGAAACAGGAGGATCAAACATTTGAGGCCAGACTGGGGAAACAATGTTTAATGATTGAGCATCTATGACTGGCAAGGAATGGTTGTAATTGAAAAGGTAAAATGATTTCTGTCATAAAGCATAATAAAGCCCAATAAGCAAGGTAAGATCCATACACAAGTAATAATATTCAAAATAGAAGACAAGTCTTCCTTTTTAAAAAGTCAGGGAAAAACAGCCAGAAGGAATGGGTTTAGCCTTGAAAAATAGGATCTGACCATAAATAGCGATATAGGGAATTCCAAAAGAAAGCAGAAACAAGGATATCTCAGAACCAAAAGGGGCCAAATATGCCCAACTTTGGTAAGGTTCTGATAAGCCAATGAAGGCTGCTGAGATGGCAGTCAGCAAATCAAGGCTGCTATGTTAAAGGTGCGTGCATGTGAACAAGTCAGGAAAACTGCAGTGAGGAAACACAGGGACCTCCTACAGGAGTATGAAGAAAAGGTTGCTAAAATCTGATTTATGTTAGGGCATTTTTTAAATGTCAAGGAACGTTGGAAAGATAGTGGTCTTATTTGCTGTAGCTACTCATTTAAAGCTCCCAATAAGAGCCAGGTATGGCCTCATGTCCAGAAGGTCCACCCACTTGGGAGGCTGGATTGTGCCTTGGCGTTTGAGGCCAGAGTATGAACAGCAATTTAGGGAATCCCTGTCTCGAAAAAGAAAAGGGAAGGCAAAAAAGGAAGGATGGCAGCTGTATTTCATGGTGGTACACATTTATCTGAGAAAACTCATATTCCAATTTTTGATACACTGATTTGTGGAATTAGGATGGTCCAACGCCTTCTTAGGCTGCCTTTGCTGTTAAAACTACAGCCTTTAAGTTTCCAGTAAGATAAGCTTGGGAAGAGTGGAATGATAAACTTTCTGGAGACCAGGTAAACCTGAACTCCCAAACAGTAAGCAAAATGCAGTAGCAAATGCTCTGAGTCAGAGGGTCAGAGAAGCACAGTATCATTTCCCTTGAAATTGCTTTATTTCTGTGAGCCTGGGCTGTTAAGTGATAAAAACCATAGGCTGTAACCCTTTCTGGGTTATACATTTACCACGTGGTCAGGAACTGAGCAGATGGCATAGGGGTGTGTACTTGCCTGGCATAGTTGAGGACTGGTTCTGCTTAAGAGAGACAAAGAGGCCGGAAGACGCTGAAAGCTACCTAAAAGGTTTCATTCCTACACAAAGCAATGTTAGCCACAAGAACTAAGAGAGGACTATAGACGTGTCTAGCTGACTCCCCTCCTACTCACATTCCAAAGAAAGAGGCCTGACTCTAATCCCCAAAGACCAGTTTGCCAAATGCAAACACAGGCTTTTTACTTTCACCCTGCAGCCCCTCTGCTCCCTTTTCCCCTTCCGCTCTGGGCTTACTTGTCCCGGATGATAGTCTGCAGCTCCCGGATTTGATCGTTCATAGGCAGCAGCTTAAGCTGTGCCCCGATCTGTCGGGAGAGTTCACAGTCCCCTAGGAGGGAGTCGCCGACAGGTGCCTCGTAGTTGCTACTATCACTGTGGTTCTCAGAGTGAAGATTAGTGCCACAGCAGGCCTGAGAGTCCCGATCTGAGAGCACGCTAGAATGGGCGTGCCCGGGGAGGAGAGTCAGCTTAGCCATAGCAGCGTTATTTTCTTCGGCATGATCCAGGATCTGGTCGTCTGCTCGCAGACGCTCGGGACTAGGGGTAGAAGTAGAGTGTACTTGCCGGTTGTGACAGGGCATGGAGTCCTGACGCTGTAACTCCGTGGCCATACACCGGGCCCCGGGCTGTCCCCGCAGCTATCAACCCCCAAGAATAAAGGAATAAAGAGCAGGAAGAAAGGGATGCGAACACGTGCTTTCTCCGGGCCCCCGCCTCCTCCAAATCTCTAACTCTGGCTGCCCTCTCACCCCTAGGCCTCCGCGGTCCTTTCGCACGCTTTGTTCCATACCCGCCCACACCAGACGCACTGCCGGCTTAGACACCTTATTGGCCTGTCTTCCTGCCAGTCTGAAGCACGCTGGCTTGTTAACTCTTTGAGTCTTTCCTGCCTGATAAATTCTTGCACGTAGCCTGGTAAACGTGGTTGAACCGGAGATTCCTGATTGCTGAGTCCTCGGGAAACCCGTAGGACTTCCTGCAATCACAACTTTGGTACAGCCAGAGAAAGTACGGGTGGGTTATACGTGGAAGGCAAATGCTTTCAGACTTTCTGATTTGACAAAGAAATTGTACTTGAGTCGTTAGTTGCTTCTTGAAGCTAATAACAGCTTATCTGTGTTGCAGAAGGAGATAAAGTAAGAATACCTAAACCAGGCGTTGGTGGCACACGCCTTTAATCCCAGCAGAGGCAGGCGGAACTCTGTGAGTTCGAGGCCAGCCTGGTCTCCAGAGCGAGTGCCAGGATAGGCTCCAAAGCCACACAGAGAAACGCTGTCTCAAAAAAAAAAAAAAAAAAAAAAAGAATGCCTAGCAAAAAAGCCTGGCTTTTCTCGACTGTTTTACAAGCTGCAGTTTCCTAACTGTGCTTGACCACCAACATTTTTCTTACTAGTATTGGTTGCACAAGTTACCATGGAAATTTTGTTGTCATTTTCGATAAACTATTATTTTGTTCTTCCAAACAATACTTGGGAAGATGCCTTTCAAAAATGTGTGGGTACCATAAGAGATGAATAAGAATATCTAGGAGAGTAATTTTCAAGCATCTGTGTGTGTCAGAACAATTGGAGAGCTTGCTAAAGTGCTGAGTTTGATTGGACATGAAGCCACACATCTGTAATTCCAGCACTGTGGAAGCTGACACAAAAGCATCAAGAGTTCGAAGCCAGCCTGGGTTACACAACAAACCAAAAATAATACAATAAGAAACTTCTCAAGGCTTACCATGAGATTCTAATACAGTAGTCGTGAAATAGGACCCAAGAATCTTTTAACAAGTAACTCAACAATTTGTTTCACTTATTTGTTTGTTTGCTTGTTTCAACATGATAGGTTTCATTATATCATTGTCATACATGCTTTATTTGCGTTGACCTTCTTCCCCCACTCCTCTCCCTCATCCCCTATTTCTCTTCCACTCCCCCAGTAGTTTATTCTCCACTTTCATGTCAGATATTGTTCTCTCCCCTGCCCTTTATTAAAACCTTTTTCCCACCTGTGATACCCTTTCTGTTTTATAACAACACAAACAAACTAACAGAAATATGAGTAACAGATAATGAGAATATCTAGGCCTTTAGCAGAAATTGAACCTTGATCTGGCTGTCTTTTGTATTTTATACACTCATTTGTTGCTTCAGTGCTGTTATTAGTCATTTTTCCTCTTTGTGTGTCTCATCTGTGTCCCACTTTCCAAGTCTGTAAATTACTATCTACAAATATAATACTGTATAAATTACATTGCACTGTGAAATTACAATCTCGAGTGGAATCTCACACACCTTTGAAAGCTTGTACATCTTTTCACCTAGCACCTAATGCAAATGAAAGGGTCTCTAGGTTTAAAACCTTGCTAACTTGAAGTAGACAAGAACAAATGGCTGTTTTGTCAATGAATACTCTAAGGAAATTCACTGAAGCCCAGTATTGTATCATGAACAAAGATATCCCGGCTCCAAAACTGCACTAGAGTTTGTCCATTGTTTCATCAGTCCTGTGGCCTTATTTTCAATGCCGTAGAATAATAAATTAGAACAGTACAATTGCCAGTCTGTTTTCTGTCTTCACTTTCATGTTAAACATACAGTTGCTTAAACATACACCAATAAGCATTAGCAGGTATATATTTGAGGTTCTCATAAGATAAAATTTACTAATTATTAATATCATAATAACATTAAGTTTTGTGTTCTACTATTTACAAAGCATCCATATGCATTCTTTTATTTGATAACTCAAAATAAGGCAGACATGATAATATATGACTATAAATAATCTCAGCCCCCAGGGTGTTGAGGCAGGAGGATCACCAATTCAAGGCCAGCCTAGGATAGACATAGACACACACACACACACACACACACACACACACACACACGCGTGCGCTCGAGGGGAAGAGAAAACACAGACCCTGTCTCACAAAATTAAATGTCTAAGATCACACATTGAAAGGGATTGGTGCTAACACAGGAGCCCTAGTCATTAGACCCTAAACCCAGTCTTTACCTACATGTAGAGATCCATGAAATCATTCAGTTAATGAAATACTGATTGCATCTTTACTATTACAATCTGGACAGTTTACTGGGTGTCAAAATAGTTGCAAGATAAAATAAGTGAAGGACTTGAAATTTTCAAATGGTGGTGAACAGCCTAGATCTTTGCAAAGCAGGGATAATATTATTCAGCACTGAAAACTTTGTCATAGGTGGAATGGCAACACTAATTTCAGCCTGGCTTTCTCGATTACCACTTTCTGATGTAGGTAGAAAGCCATATAAATTAAAAGCTGAAAAGTTCTCCTGCAGTAATTGACATGGCTTCATTTTGGGTGGTTTGTTGTTTTGTTTGTTTTAAAACCAGTTTAATACATTTTTCTCTTTTTTGAAAAGATATATTTAAGAGATAGCACATTTTGAAAAGCAACTAACACAAGAGCAGTTTCTGATTGGCAAGGCTTTGTCGTGTATTTCTTAACCTGTGATGGATTAAATCCAGGCCCTAAATTGGTGAGACTGTCAAATATAGAGCCCCAAGCTCAGAACTTAAGAAGATTCTTAAAGGTTTTTAGAAACTACATCCTAACAGGAGTCCTTCACATGTAGCTGTGCAGTCCCTTGAGATCACTTTCTTATCTCATTTGACATGACAAAACAGGTGAGAAAAGTCAGACTTAGGAGTTTAAAGTAACAACTAACTAATAATAGTAAAGTTGGGAGAAAACTAAAGAGAACTTTTACTAAACTCTATTTTCTATTCTTTAGGTATCTTACTTAAACTTTCTAATGACTTTTGTATGTGATCCATCTTATTATCTCCATTTTACAAATAGGAAAATGAGTCAGGCGTTGGTGGCACACGCCTTTAATCCCAGCACTCGGGAAGCAGAGGCAGGTGGATCTCTGTGAGTTTGAGACCAGCCTGGTCTACAAGAGCTAGTTCCAGGACAGCCTCCAAAGCCACAGAGAAACCCTGTCTCGAAAAACAAAAACAAAAACAAAAACAAATAGGAAAATGAAGAGAGATTCATTCACCTGACAATGTCATGAAAGCCATAAATGCAGGAACATACATTTAAAACTAAATTTGAGAAACTCAATTTGCTTCTGTAAATAATGTCCTCAGACTTGTCCTGGTTATAGTCTTCTCTCTTTTTTTAATTTTTCGAGACAGGGTTTCTTTGTGTAGCTTTGGAACCTACCCTGGCACTAGCTCTGGAGACCAGGCTGGCCTCGAACTCACAGAGATCTGCCTGCCTCTGCCTCCCAAATGCTGGGATTACAGGTGTGTGCCACCAATGCCCGGCCCTGGTTGTAGTCTCCTATTGTGGACCACACCTTATATTGTACTAGACAGTATCTCACCTGTAATACTATATGTATGTGCAAAATTTGTGTTACGTAACTGAGTTAAGGAATCTAGATATAATCTTGTTTTAATTCTTATGCGTAGACGACCATAGTGGTGCACATCTGTAATCCTAGTACTTGGTAGGTAAAGATGAGAGGATCTAGAGTTCAAGGTTAGCCTGAGTTACATGAGTGCTTGTCTCTAAATAAATAAATAATAGTCCTCTCCTGAACTCTTTGCATTGGTAATCTCTTTGCATTGATTTTAATTATGTTTAAGCCACTTTGCTATAATTTTAAGTTTCTTAAAAACAAAAGCATGGCATGATGTGGTGGACTTTGGGGAGCCCCCATGGAGGGCCTTTCCCTCTCTGGGGAGCGGAGGGGGGATGGGGTGGGGGCTGGTGGGGCGTTGGGGAGGAGGGCAAGGAGAGGGAGAGGGAAAGGGAGAGGGAGGAGGGGAGGGAGAAGGGATGGAGTGGGGTATAGCACATGCATCATTTGTAATAAAGACTGATTCCATTTTATTTTATTTTATTTTATTTTATTTTATTTGATTGGAACAAAGTCTTCCTGTGTAGCCCAGGTATAACTCTAGCCCTTAGGAGGCTAAAGCAGGAGGATAGAGTGTTTGAGACCAACCAGGGCAGCAAGTGAGATATAGCGTAGCCTGGGCTATGCAACAAGACCCTGAATTAACTCTTCTAACACCCTAAAGGGATGTACTCTGTAACAAGGATATATCAAGGATACAATACAATATGAATGACAGTCACCATGTTGCACAATAGGTCCCAGAATTTATTTATTTTCTGGCTGAAAGTTTATAGCCTTTGTCCTCGTTTGTATTCTATTGCTGTGATAAAACACCATGACTGAAAGCAACTTGGGAAGGAAAAGGTTTATTTGCTTACTCAACCTAATTACAGTCCATCATGAAGGGAAGTCAGAGCAGAAACTCCAGCAAGAACCTGAAGACAGGAACTAAAGAGGAGACCGTGGAGGACTACTGCTATATAAGGCTTGCTCATTGTTCCTTGTGGCTTGTTCAGCTTGCTTTAAAAGACTTCTTCATTTTATTTTGTGTGAGTGTTTTGCCTACATGTTTGTAGGTGTACCATGTACATGCTTGGTGCCCATGGAGGGCAGAAGAAGCCACTGGATCCCTGGAACTGGAAATACAGATGAGTGGCAATCACCATTTGGATACTTGTAATGGAACCCAGGTCCTCTTCCAGAGCAACAAATGCTCTTAACTGCTAAGACATCCCCCATCCCAACCCTGGCTTGCTTTTTAATGCAACTCAGGCTCACTGTGGGTTGGGACCTCCCACATAAATCATTAATCATGATAATGTCCCACAGAATTCCTCAAGACATTTAAGAAACACTAAATATTAATCTTTTTATCAAATA